TGGCTCAGTAACAGTGACGAAAAGAAATGAGGCCTGAGCCAGTAGGTGGTGTGGTGGTTAGGAGCACTGTACTTTGACAGGGCTGACTGTGGTTCAAGTCCCAGACCTGACAGCTTGCTTTCTCACTTTCCCCTCTCTCTTTTCTCTCTCTCTCTCTCTCTGGTCTAATTAAAATAATAATAATAAAGTTAAATAAAAATAATTCTTTAGGAAAAAAAAAATGAGAGGCCTGACTGAGTACAGTCATGTACCACGTAACAGTGCTTGGATCAACAATGAACTGCATAGACTACAGTGGAGCAGGAAGCTCATGTCGCCCATGTGCGTAGTAGGGTATACAGTCTAGGCTTAAGTACATTCTGATGTTCATACAGAAATACAGTCACCTAATACATTTCTCAGAATATGTCCCTATCATTTAGCAACCATGACTGTACTTCCTTAGGGATGATAGGACAGTCTGCCAGTTTATACGTCTAGGACTGTCTTGGCTTCACCTGTTGCTGCCCCCAGTAGAGAACATGGAAAGATAACACAGCTGCCACGGAGAATTTCTGTACATCTCCTTCCACACATCCTTTCCTATTCACTGAAGAATACTGCATTAATTACTTTATACTCAGCAAGCTACTTTAGTCTGATGCATAGGAAACAGTTATTTACAAGTTTTCAGTGTATGAAATGGTGGTCGTAACCTATTAGACAATAGACCATCTAGCATAAAAAAGACAGCCACCTATGGCCTCTATCACATTTTATTTGGTGTCAGTTATTAAATACAGATCCACTGGTAGTATGTGCCCCTTTCCCTCTCTTGATCATGGAAGAGGCTTATTAGAGGTGAATGGATAAAAATAGAAGCTAGTCCTATTTCCTGATAAACATTATAAAATCTTACAGTAAAGAACAACAAGATTTCGTGATTTGATATTACAATATTTGCATGAAAATATTCCTAAACTGTAAAAAGAAAACTATAAAGCGAGATGCTCTGTAAGATCCTCAATGATGTCCTATGCATTCTATTATGAAAACAATAAGTATACAAAAATAGATTAAGTCTTTAAAGTTGTATGGAAATGGTTATATGCCTTTTATTGATATTTTAAAAACCTATTTGATTTTGGGACCAGCAGTTAGTGTAGTGGCTATGTCGCTGGACTCCCATGTAGTTGACTGTTGTTCGAGTCCTGGACCCGGTGGCTTAAACTCACGCCAGGCGCGTGTGCATGCATGCCCAAGATCCTGAGAGGAGAATGGAGAAGAAGGGATTGCAACATGGCCATCTCCCCTGGGGGGTGATTTCTGTCTTTCTGTCTCTGTCTTTTTGGCGAGCGCGTGCGCCCTATAGCAAAAACCTCTCCAAAAAAAAGAAAAAAAATATTTGATTTCATATATGCTTAAATTTTTTTCATAGCTTCTAAAGAATTGCTTCTAAAATTTTGTGTTGCATCTACAGTTTTTTCCTCTTTCAGGGAACCACATTTTTTTCTTCCTCACCACCACACCCACCACCATATTTCTGAAAAAGGGGAATAAAATTTATTTTAAATAAATTTTATTTTAGTTCTTATTTAAGAAGAGTATCAGAAGAGAGTGTCTAACCATAAGAGCTATTAAAAATAAGGCAGTGGGGACCAGAAGGTGGTGTGTGGTCAAGGTGCTGGACTCCCCCACATGGCTGACCATGATTTGAATCCTTGACCTGGCAGCTTTCTCCCTCTTTCTCTCTCTCTCTTGTGAGTGCATATACCCTATAGCAAATTAAAATAATAATAATAAATAAAATTAAATCTTTTTTTAGAAAATGAGGCAAGTGGACTATAGCAAATAACGACTAATGAGAAATCAGGATCCTACTAATAAATAATATTGACCTTGACATAAGGAGAAAGCTGGGTTAACCAATTGATTGCAGCAAGAATTTTTAGAGGACTGGTCACTGTCTGTGAGCTCCATTTTGATAAGTAGTTTTTTAAACTTAACTTTTTAGGTAACCAAATAAGAAAAGTGAACTTGGTTCTTTATGTCTTCCAGGCTGTTGCACTCCGATCGAGATCCTATTCCAGATGTTCCTGCAGTGTACTTTGTGATGCCAACTGAAGAAAATATTGACAGAATGTGCCAGGTAATAGTTCCTATTTTCCCAATTTGAACTTGGGAACATGTTTTGTTTGTTTTCAAAAGAAAAACAAGGGACCAGCAGTTGGGGTAATGGGTATGTCACTGGACTCCCATGTAGTCAGCCATGGTTCAAGTCCCAGACCCAGTAGCTTAAACTCACACTGGGCATGTGTGTGTGCGTGCCCAAGATCCCGAGAGGAGAAGGGATTGCTGTGTGGCCCTCGCCACAGGGGGTGATTTCTCACTTTCTGTCTCTGTCTTTCTGGCGCGTGGATGTGCCCTATAACAAATACCTCTCAAAAAAAAAAAAAGGGAAAAACAAAAACAAAAAACCTTAGGTATCCAGTGTAAAAAATCAGAAATTCACTTAGTTTCCAACTTTGTTTTTGAGATTTTTTAAAAAATAACTTGAAGAATTTAAAACTTTTGGTCTGAATAAGCATTATTTCAGTAAAAACTAGATTAAAGCCTAATCCTTAAGAGTCAGGATTTGAGGGGCCAGCAAATGGTGTGGTGGTTAAAAGTGCTGAATTCCCACATGGTTGACCCCAGTTCGAGTCCCGGGCCTGGCAGCTTGTTTTCTCACTTTCCCTTTCTCTTTCTCTCTGGTCCCATTAAAAAAAAAAATAATAATAATAATAATAATAATAACTGGAATTAAATAAATAGTTCTTATATAAAAAGATCAGAATTTGAGCTTTCTGGCATGGTGTTTAAGGCAACTATATCCCACATGGCCAATTACAGAATCCCAGGCCCAGCAGCTTGAGAAACAGGTCAGGCATGTGTGCACATGCCTAAAATCTTGGAGAGAGATGGAGGAGAAGGGATTGTAGTGTGATCATTCCCTGTGGGGAGTGTGTTCTCCACCTAGTCTCACTATAGTGAGTGTACCTGCTATACAATAAAAAATAAAAAAAAATTAGAGCCAGAGAGGATGGAGAGAGAGAAAAAGAAAGAAATAACCCCCCCCCACACACACACCCAGCCCGTGAGGATGGCCAGGATTTTGGACATGCACATGTGCCTAGTGTGTCTATTAAGCCATTGGGTTTGGGATTTGAACATGCAGTCAGCCATGTGGACTTCAGCATCTTAACCATCACAACACCTGCTGGCCCTGTGTCACTTTCTAAAAATGTAGTACATACTGATATCTTCCTCCTTAATTATTTTGTAACAGCTTTAATACCACATAATTCACCCACTTATACAAGTGTATAAATCAGTGAGTTTTTAGTATATTCACATAGTAGTGTAACCATCACTAGTCAACTTTGGAACATTTCATAACCTCAAAAAGAAACTTTGTACTCCTTAACCATTCCATACCTACCCTGCCCCTATCCATTCCCATCCCAAAGCTAGTTTCTCGTTTTGTGTATCTGCCTATTCTGATCATTATATATAAATATAGTTGAATAATATGTGGTCTTTTGTATCTGCCTTTTTTATCTTAACATATTTTTAAGGTTTATCCATATCATAGCATGTATCAGTACTTTATTTCTTTTGAGTCTGAATATATTCCAGTGTATGAATATACCAAATTCTACCCATTTAACAGTTGATATGGGTGTTTTGGTTGTTGCCACCTTTTGGCTATTATGAAAAATGCTGCTATAAATATTCAGGTACAAGTTTCTATGTGGACATGCTTTCATTATATGTCCATAAACATGTAAGAATGGAATTGCTTGGTCAAATGTTAACTCTATTTACGCTTTGGAAGAACTCAGACTGTTTTTCCAAAGCATTTGCACCATTTTATATTCCCACCAGCAGTGTATGAGGGTTATGATTTCTCCAGATCCTTGCCAACGTTTATTTATCTGTCTTTTTGACTATAACCATCCTAGTGGGTGTGGAGTGGTATCTCATAGTTTGTTTTTACAGTTCTTTGTTAGCAATTGTTATAGGTTGTTTTCTTACTGCTACAACTGAGTACCACAGACTGGATAACTTGTAAAGAATATAAGTCTAGGTGCCAGCAGATGGCGTAGCAGTTATGTTGCTAGACTCCCACATGACCAACCACCGTTCCGTTCCCAGAACCAGTAGCTTGAAACTCACCGGCAAGTGCATATGTGTATATGCCCAAGATCCCAGGAGGAAAATGGATCGCAGTGTATTCATTCCTCCCCTGGAGGTGGTTTTTCACTTTCCCTTTCACTGTCTCTGTCTGTCTCTCTCTCTCTCTGACGAGCGCATGTGCCCTAAAACGGAAGATTCTTTTAAAAAGAAAAATTATCTCATGATTCTGGAGGTCTAGGGTCAAGGGGTTTTATCTGGTGAGGGCCTTCTTGCTAGTAGGGGCTCTAGATTTCTGAGGTAGTACAGGACATCATATGGTGAGATGAAAAAAGCATATGTCAACTCGGGTCAGTCTGTGTCCCATCTGTCTGTCTGTCTCTCTCATGAAGTATTCATTTATGGGGTCCCTAACCTGATCACTTTAACCCTAATCAACTCCCAAAGGCACCATATCTTTTTTCTTTTAAGAATTACTTATTTCATTAATTATTTTTTAAATAATTATTTATTTAATTTTATTTATTCATTCGTTTATTTTAATTTGACGAGAGAGAGAGAAAGCAAGCCACCAGGCCCAGAACTCAAACCGTGGTCAGTCATGTGGGAATGTCCAACGCCTTAACCACCATGCCACCTGCTGGTCCCCCATTAATTATTATTTTTAAATTTGCTGTAAGGCACATGTGCTCACCAGAGAGAGAGAGAACAAGCTGCCAGGTTTGGAACTTGAACCGTGTTTGGCCCTGTGGGAGTCCAGCTCCTTAACCATCATGCCACTACTAGCTCAAGGCCCATCAGATTAAAGGTCCTACTTTCTTTTTTTCTTAAGAGAAGTTTTCACTATAGTGCACGAGCACTCATAGGAAAGACAGAATGTGAGAAATCACCCCCTAGGGAGGATGGCCACACCGCAATCCCTTCTCCATTCTCTTCTTGGGATTTTGGGCATGCACACACAGCACCCATCATGAATTTCAAGCAGCTAGATGTGGAACTTAAACCACACATGACTCTGCAAGTCCAGCAATGTAACCATTATGCCATGTGCTAGTCCTAGGTTCTTATTTTCTTAATACATCACACTAGCCACCTAATTTCAACACATAAATCTTTGAGTTCACAGTGAAACCACAGCAGTGATATCAAGCTTTTTTTTTTCTTTCTTCTTTCTTAAAAAAAAAAAAAAAATAGTTTTTGGTATAGTGCGCATGTTCTTGCCAGAGAGATAGACAGACAGACAGAGAAGGAAGGGAAAGTGAGAAATCATCCCCTGGTGAGGGGAGTATGGCTATCCCACAATGCTTTCTCCTCCATTCTCCTCTTGGGATTTTAGGCACACACAAACACACATGCCCAGTGTGATTTTTCAAGCTGCTGGGTCTGGGACGTGTCAGGCCTGTGGGAATCTAGCACCTTAACCACCATGCTACCTGCTGGTCCCATTGAGCATCTTTTAAAATGCTTTCTGGACACTTGTATATCTTTGGAGAAAGTCTGATCAGTTCCTTTGCCCATTTAATTGGATTGCCTTTTTGTTGAGTTCTTTATACATTTTGGATATTAGACCCTTATCAGGTTTCTGATTAGCAATTTTTTTTTCGATTCTGTGAGTTGTCTTTTTACTTTCTTAATAGTGTCCTTTCAAGCATAAATGTTTTTTATTTTGATTAAGTCCTGTTTATTTTTTCTTTTGTTGCTTGTACCTTTGGTATTCTTTTAAGAGATCATTCTAAACCATGATGCTTTCTTCTAACAGTTTTATAGTTTGGACTCTTACATTTAGATCTTGATCAATTTTGAGTTTATTTTTGTATATGGTGTGAGGTAGGTGTCCAACTTCCTTTTTTTACATGTGGTTATTCATTTGTCCCAGTATAATTTTTTGGAAAACATTTTCCCTAATGAATGGTTTTGGCAACTGTGATGGTGTATGCTACTAAGAAATTGTGATCTTCAGACTGGGACCACATTGGAGGCCCGAGTTTTGATTCCTGGTCTGACCTAAAGGTTAGGTATGGTGGTATGCATCTGTAATCCTAGAAACTCTGGGAGATTGTGGCAGGAGGATCATGAACTTGAGGCTAGCTGGGTAACATAGCAAGACCTCGTCTAAAAAAAAAAAAAGTGTGGTAGAGTCTACCTGCAGCCACTGGGAAGCTGAAGCAGAAGGATCATGACAAGACCCTGTCTCAAAAAAAAAAAAAAAATCTGGGCCAGCAGGTGGCGTGGTGGTTAAGATGCTGGGATTCCCGCATGGCCGACCACAGTAGCTTGCTTTCTCACTTTCTCTCTCTCTCTCTGTCTTTCTCTGACAAAACTCATGTGAAATAATAAATAAGTAAATAAATAAATAAAATAATTCTTTTAAAAAACATCGACCCTAGATAAGTAAATTTATTTCTGGATTCACAATTATATTTCATTTATCTCTGTGTCTTTCATTAGCCTATACAATATAGTCTTGAGTTTCTTGCTTGGTAACAGCTATTGAAATTGGGAGATGGAGTCCTCCAACTCTGTACATTTTTTTTTTTTTTCAAGATTGCTTTTTAGCTTTTCTGAGTCCCTTGAGTTTCCAAATTAATTTTGGGTTAACTTGTCAATTTCTATAAAGTAACCACCTGCAGCTCTGATAGGGATTGTGTAATCTGTGGATCAATTTGAGGAGTATTGCCATCTTACCAGTATTAAGTTTTCTGATCCATAAATATGTGTTATCTTCTGATTTATTTATATCTTCTTTTTTAAAATAATGTCTCACAATTTGCAAATATAAGTTTTGCACTTTTCTTGTTAAATTTATTCTTTACTATTATGAATGGAATTGTTTTATCCATTTTTAGGATTGTAAATGGCAAGCATATAGAAATGTATTTATTTTTATATATATGTGTGTATATATATTTATTTTGTATCTTGAAACCTTGCCGAACTTTTGTGTCTTTTTGAAATATAATGTTATTCTTTGACCATTTCCTTACTTTCTAGCACAGTAACACATTGCAGTCTCATTGTATACTTTTTTGTCTTTTTCTGTCTTATCCCAGGATTTAGCCCTATATCCATGCATCCCTAGTTGGGTTTTGTAGACAATGATATTTAGAAATCAGCATCTGGGGCCAGCCAGGTGGCATGGTGATTAAGGTGGCTGGATCCCACGTGGCCACATGCATAGTTTGAGTCCTGGGCCTGGCTGCTTGTGCTCAGGGAGAAGAAATTGCAGCATGGGGATGATTTCTCACTTCTCTTTTTCCAGCAAACACATGCATCCTATCACAAACTGAAGAAAAAAAAATCTGGGCCAGCAGGTGGCGTGGTGGTTAAGATGCTGGGATTCCCGCATGGCCGACCACAGTAGCTTGCTTTCTCACTTTCTCTCTCTCTCTCTGTCTTTCTCTGACAAAACTCATGTGAAATAATAAATAAGTAAATAAATAAATAAAATAATTCTTTTAAAAAACATCGACCCTAGATAAGTAAATTTATTTCTGGATTCACAATTATATTTCATTTATCTCTGTGTCTTTCATTAGCCTATACAATATAGTCTTGAGTTTCTTGCTTGGTAACAGCTATTGAAATTGGGAGATGGAGTCCTCCAACTCTGTACATTTTTTTTTTTTTTCAAGATTGCTTTTTAGCTTTTCTGAGTCCCTTGAGTTTCCAAATTAATTTTGGGTTAACTTGTCAATTTCTATAAAGTAACCACCTGCAGCTCTGATAGGGATTGTGTAATCTGTGGATCAATTTGAGGAGTATTGCCATCTTACCAGTATTAAGTTTTCTGATCCATAAATATGTGTTATCTTCTGATTTATTTATATCTTCTTTTTTAAAATAATGTCTCACAATTTGCAAATATAAGTTTTGCACTTTTCTTGTTAAATTTATTCTTTACTATTATGAATGGAATTGTTTTATCCATTTTTAGGATTGTAAATGGCAAGCATATAGAAATGTATTTATTTTTATATATATGTGTGTATATATATTTATTTTGTATCTTGAAACCTTGCCGAACTTTTGTGTCTTTTTGAAATATAATGTTATTCTTTGACCATTTCCTTACTTTCTAGCACAGTAACACATTGCAGTCTCATTGTATACTTTTTTGTCTTTTTCTGTCTTATCCCAGGATTTAGCCCTATATCCATGCATCCCTAGTTGGGTTTTGTAGACAATGATATTTAGAAATCAGCATCTGGGGCCAGCCAGGTGGCATGGTGATTAAGGTGGCTGGATCCCACGTGGCCACATGCATAGTTTGAGTCCTGGGCCTGGCTGCTTGTGCTCAGGGAGAAGAAATTGCAGCATGGGGATGATTTCTCACTTCTCTTTTTCCAGCAAACACATGCATCCTATCACAAACTGAAGAAAAACAGAAAGAAAGAAATCAGGATTTGGGCATTAATTGTATTCATTGCAATCAGATTTTAACTGTTCTTAACATCCTCTTAATAGGGAACTAGCAGTTAGCATAATGGCTATGTCGCTGGACTCCCACATAGTCAACTGCGGTTCGCGTCCCGGACCCGGTGGCTTAAAACTCACACCGGGCGCATGTGCGTGCATACCCAAGATCCCGAGAGGAGAAGGGAGGAGAAGGGATTGCGGCGTGGCCATCCCCCCGGGGGGTGATTTCTCACTTTCTATCTCTATGTCTCTGTCTGTCTGGTGAGTGCATGCACCCTATAGCAAAAACCTCTCCAAAAAAAAAAAAGTCCTCTTAATAAACAAAACTAGGGAAAATATTATGTATACATACATATACCCTCTTATATCTGTTCTGTTTTATTTCTGTAACTCTACTTTTTTCCTCCCTATCTAAATAGATAACCTCTAAAACTGTTTTGGTTCAGCAACACAGGATTTATTCTAGTTTGGTTTTTTGGGTTTTTTCTTTTTTTGCTCCTTTATAGGTTTATAACTCAGTGAGAGACATGATTCTCAATATGCTAAACATACTACTTATTCTCTCTATCTTCATAAGTAACTAATCTGATCTTTGTTGACACACTGCCCTCTGCAAGTGCCTTTCTCACATAAGTTACAACCCCTCAGTTTTTCACATTTATACATCTCTGAAATCAGATACATGTTAAAATTGATTGCCATAGGGCGGGCACCACCACGCCCAAAATTGATAGGATGTCATAAGTTTTATTGGCAGCATTCTTTATTTTTTCCTTGCTGTAGGGCACAGGTACTTGCTGGAAAGAGAGAGAGAGAAAGGGATAAATCACCTCCTGTGGGAATGGCTACACATCAGTCCTTCTCCATCCTCCTCTTGGGATTCTGGGCACACATGCACATCGTCCTGTTGTGGTCTTCAAGCCACCAGGTCTAGGACTTGAACTGCCGATTCAGCTATTTGAGATCTAGCTACCTTATCATCCACATCACCTGCTGGTCCATTAATTCTTTCTTAGTGCCCTATAAAGTGATGGTGTCTGTTACAGTTTATACTTGGCTTGCCTAAAGTTTAAATAAATAAATTTAAGAATTTGTATAACGTAAATTCCACTACTTTTGAGTGAGAAGAAATTTTCCTGGAATCATAACATGTCTGTATGTAGTGAAGGAAGTTTTTATTGTTAATCACATGACCAGAGTGGTGTAAGGTAGTATCCACCAAATACAGCAAGCATTTTACTGGCCAGCCCGTGATCTGATAGTTAAGGCAGCTGAATCCCACATGGCCAACCACAAAATTTGAGTCCTAGGCCCAGCAACTTGAAAAACATACCAGGTACATGTGTGTGTGCACCCAAAATCCCAAAAGGAGGGAGAATGGGAGAGAAGGGATTGTGACATGATCATGTGCCATAGTGAGTACTTTCTCACTTTGCCTCTCTCTGTCTTTCTCTGGTGAGTGCTTATATCCTCTGGCAAATTAAACAAAATAAAAAACCATTACTATATTAAAGAACTACTTCTGGATAGGATATTGATTATTTGCTTGTCTATTTTGCTATAGGGCCTGGGTGTTTGTCAGAGAGAGGGAGGGAGAGAAAGAAAGATAAAGCTCCCCTTGGGGGATGGCCACACTACAGTCCCTTCAGTTCCATTCTCCTTCAAGGTTTTGGGCATTCACACACATGTACCTAGCATGCTTTTCAAGCTACTGGGTATAGGACAACCACAGAGTTGGCCTTGTGGGATCCAGCCACTTGAACCTTCATGCCTTATGCGGTCTCACACTTCTGGATATTTTTAACAAAATGTTTCATTAATGTCTGCTAACCAGATAATCAATACTTCATAATTTTGTTTTCTTGGTATACTTGTTTTAATTGTCATTGACATAACTTGTCTTTTAAATTTGTATCTTATTCTCCAGACCTTACTCTTATAATATTTAAAATATTTTTATTCGTGGTCTTCTTTTTACTACCCCATAAGAATGAAGTATTTGTTGTATTTATAGGATCTTCGAAATCAACTCTATGAATCATACTATTTAAATTTTATTTCTGCTATTTCAAGAAGTAAACTGGAAGACATTGCAAATGCAGCATTAGCAGCCAGTGCAGTGACACAGGTAGCCAAGGTAAGAGTTTCGATTTTTGGTTGGTTGATGACATCGGTATCTTAATTTACTCATGATCAGAATGATTTAAGGAATGTTTAGACTCAATACTTCCAGAAAGAATTCTGATAATAATAATTATCTCCAGCTTGTACTAGGCAGAATAAGCAAATGGAAGAACCTACTACCAGAGAATTTCAAAACAATTCTTTGTAAAAAAGGAATTAAAATAAGACTTTATTTTGGTACAAAAAAACCATGAAATCGGTATGTAGTATTTTCATAATATGGATTTTCCACAAATGATCCGTTGTATTCAGTGAATTGGAAAGACAAAATATAAACAGCGAAATCAGTTTTGCTTTGACTGGGATCTGTATTGTTTTAGTGTGATTTTTTTTTTTTATTTGACAGTTGCATTGCCATAAATTATACCCAGAATATGTTAACCTTGTGTTATCTGTAATCACCATAGTTACCATACTTTCTCCAGTATTAAGTACTTTCTTACTTAGAAAAGGGAATCCAGAGAGGCTAGGTTGTATAAGAAAAAGTAATTTATACCAGGCCATTAATTCTATATCATACTGACTTTTTCGTCAGGTTCAGCTTGTTTTAAATAGACTTGTAAACTGTATTTCTGATGATAGCCCTGTTGTACCCTATGCTTCTTGAATTGTGTAAGATATAAGTGAAAATCCTAGAGAATTATATAGGACAAATAAGAATAAACAAACATGCATTTACTTTTTTCTCACTGGTAGATTTATATTTTATTCTTAACTTTAGATAGGCCATTGCTACTTCTTTTTGTTTGTGTGTATTTAAATATATATATATATATATTTTTTTTTTTTTCAATGTGACAGAGATAGGAGACAAGGACTCCTGTCAGGACTTCTCCTCATAGCCAATCAGGATCCCAGGCACACCTGTGGGCACACTCAAAGTGTTCAGGTCGACCCAGGATCCAAACCCTGAACTTTCCCATTTGGCTGCAGTTTCATGCAGCAGTGGCCACTGG